GGGGGGGGGGGGGGGGGGGGGGTTTACTCCTGTGAACGCATGCCAGAGTCACTAGACCTCCTTACCATGCCGGGACGGAGCGGTACATATTCTGCGTTTTATCCGGCCCAGGCTACGGTTCGCAAGGATGAACCAGATCCTTGCGTCTGCTGTGCCAAATCAAATGGGGGGAGGCCTACTCGTGTTTTGCATGCCTAGCTCTTAGACGGTTGGCCACCATACATCCTCGAGAGGATGGAGCATTGTTCACACAGGGCCGATGGCCAATGGCCACTCGTTCATTCCTTCTTTGCCAAAGGGGTGGATGGGGGGGGTAGAGTAGCGAAGTAGGACACGAAGAGGAGAGAGCCAAGCGAAGAGGGCTGAGGCAAGAAGGACAGCCAGCGCCAAAAATGTCCCTTCGCGATCTGAGCGGTGGAAATCGAAAATACGTCCTAGCAGACGGATGCAAACACCGCTGCAGGTGGTTGTTGTCACAAAGTAGACGGCACGAGCGGTCGCGGTCTCTCACGTGATGTCCTCTCTCAGCGACTTGAGGTCGTTCATCCACACGCCTCCGGAATCGTCCTTCAAGGCCTTGGGGCCGATCGCGGCGCCCGACTCCAGCATGCGCTCCAAATCTGACCGCAATCGCCGCACGCGACCGCAAGGCACAACAGACACACGACGTCAGAAAATTAGTGTCACGGCTGCATGCTGCTGACCCTCACCTTATCAACAAAAGAGACGCCATGCTGCCTACAAATTCCAACATGCCTTCCAAAAATGTGTTCGTTATCTTTAGCAAGCAGCAGAATCTTGTGATCGCACAGCAGCTATTTTCGTGTGCCGTGTGTTCATCGCTAGCATCGTGAAAGTACCCGAAAATAAATCAGGGGGAAGCTTGCCTCGACTGCGTTGCCTGGCAACAACGACAGGCGATCTCGCAATCGAAAATTAACGTATGTCGGCGTGAGGCGCCAAACATTATTCGCCGTGCTTCGGGGGCTGCTACCCAGAGAGGTGCGGAGAGACGGTCGGGCTGCTGCTGCTGCTAGCTTCAGGAAGAGTGGTATCATTGATATCAAGCATCACCGTATAGACGTGAAAAAAAATCCAAAATAAATCCAGTACCCAGTCGGTTTTCCTCCACTGACTTAAAAGACTCCACCACATCCCGTTCGACTGTTGGTATATCTCGAACGGGAAGTCTTTCTGTGTGTATATTTGTTTTTCCTAAGAGTGCCTGGTCACGAACGGCCTCGCAGCCTCAACACCAATACCAAGAGTCTGCTTGTTACGCTACACAGCAGTAGCTCCATCGTAACCCTCCTCCGTCTCCAGCATTCGTCAAGGATGGACAACATCAAACTCTTCCTACCGCTTTGCCTTCAACACCAACACTACTACTACTAGCACAAGCACCAACTGCCGCATTATGGGATTATCCTCGTCAATCTCAGCAACAGAAACAGCAACAGCAACAGCAACGAACAACTATGCCAAATCCAGCACTAGCACCAACCAATAATCGGGCAAATGTCTCAACTGCAGGCAAACGGGTCAGAGTCTGAACCAACAACGACAACTGATCACCCCTACGATACAATGTTCGGGATTGTCCTCGGACTACCTTCCAACCCTCACGACAACAACAACAACATGCCACCGGCCAATACATCAAAGAGCACCTCCCGATCCTCATGACAACAGTCCACGTTCCACCTGCAAGGGTACCTATCGAACCACATCACCACAGCCACCTAAAGGCATGTAAGGGTACCTTCCAAGCCTCACGACATCAGGCCACATTCCGCCGGTTAGGCCTAAGTCTAGCTCACCCTCCACCCGACGCTGTAGGTCGAGCATGGCCGTGTCCTTCTCGGCCAGCTCTTGTTCTAGCTCCAGGGTGGCCGCTCTTGTCGCAGACGCCCTCTCTCTCGCTGCCGCGCCGGCTGCTTCCTTCGCCTTGCGCTCTTGCTCCGAGCGATTCGTCTGGCTCATGCGTCGCCCCAGCATGCTCCGCATTTCATCGGCCGGTGATGCAGGCTGTAGGCGAGAGAGGGGGGGTCACACGACAAAATGTAAAAATCAGAAGCACCCGGGTTGCAAGTCCGCATCAAAAGCGTGTTTTTTTATGTTTTGTTGCGACAAGGCATCGGTCACACGGAGCCTCCACAGCGACCGAATTCTCACGGGAGAGGCCAGCGAATACTCCGGCTGTACTGACGATCCAAAATGTTGCCAACCATCTAAAGCAACCTCAGGCATGTCAGCGTGGTACCATAAACAAAATTGTGCGGGGTCGTTTTTTCGACATGTACAGAGCGCTGAAGGTCAAATTTCGGAGAATCTAGCGGGAGAAGTCCAAACCAAATTGGAGATAGACATGTGGGCCGGCTTTGCTCCATACAGGCGATAGAGTACTTCACTGGAACGACCCTCGCCGTGGCGATCCAACATTGCGCCGACCAATGCTACCTATGTCTATGAAATCCACTCTGGCGAAGTCTCGAGCGAGTTTGTCAACTCCTTCGCAGGTGGATAGCAGCGTGAAGTTCGGTGCTGACAGCTGCGAAACGGGTTTGGATGCAGCAACTCTTCCACTTTTGATAGCACGGCATTTGCCAGGTTTAGAGCAAATCCAGGGCAAACCACATGTCTGCGCGTGTAAAACATGACATGCTTGAGGTATCCTGCTGATTTCATAGCACGTAACTGTCTGTGTGGGGAGTACCAGCGGTAACAAAGGTGTGCACCAGATGGTGTCACAGGGCGACACATCGTGGGGGCTTGCGGGGGGTACCATGGATTATCGCGGAGCCCCTTGGTCATATTTTTGTTTGCCTTTGTGGAACTTGCAACCCGGGTGGAAGTATATCGCACACTCTTGAAGTAATTTTCCGCTGTTGCCCGCGGTGAGAGTGGCGTCCGTGCACTGGTGTAGCCGGATACCGTACGACACAAGATAACACACCCCCTGGACCGATTTTCAATGCTCGATTACTCCACGACCAAGAGGATGCACAAACGAAAGGATGCATTTTCGGAAAGCTCTCGACGAGACGGCGTCAACGCCGCCGTCTTCAGCGCTGACTCTTTCTGCTAGTTGAGAAATCGGGCTTCGAAAATCGGCCCAGGGGGTGTGTTATCTTGTGCCGTACGGTAAGTAGCACGGTCGATACAACAAAACAACACACGCGCACATTTATTTTTGTATTTTCATTCGTCAGGCGGTAGCGCGGTCGATGCTACTACCAAAGAAACCACACAAGAGGGAGCGCGCGTGAGAGACAACATGATGTATGAGGTGAATTACGCCTTTGGAACCGCTGGTTGCAAGAACTAAACACTGCTGTAGGATGCCAATGAAGCTCAACACTTCAACACAACAATGAGGTGCGCAATTTTTAGCGAGGTGAACGTGTGGAGAGAGCTCGGCCGAGCGAGGCAGGGGCGCATACGCATACCTGTCGGCGAGCGCGCCTAACGTCTCCGGGCAGCTCCCTCTTCGCCAGCTCCGCTTCGATGAACATCACGCACTCGCCGAGCTCCGCGCCGCTTTCGAGGGCGTTCACCAGCACCTCGTACGCTTCCTGCAGCAGCCGTTCGGTTATTTCATCCGCGGAAGAAGAATGAGCAAAACGACCAATTACAGGAAGATGAAGAACAACAACGAAACAAGGAAGAGAGGGACGGACAAGGACGATGTTGGCATACCTGTGTAAGGCTAGCCTACACAAGCTGATTTGTTTGTTGCAAAGAGAGGGATGGGCACAGTAGTCTGCGCAGCAAAATTGATGAAGCAAACATATGGGATCAAGGATTCAATCCGTGCTTAGGGGTAGGGTTAGAGATGGGGTCTGCGTGCCCCCTCCCTATTCCTTTTCTAGATACTCCTAACATCCTGCGTAGGCGGTCCGATGGGCACGTTTGATGCCAGCAAAACCTGAACTGCTGTGTTAGGTCGTACACAAGGTGGTCGATCGGTCACCAATGCATCCCTAGCTCGTTATGATCTAGAACGGGTCCATGTTTTCTTCGTTAGCGCCATGCAAATTTCTAAAGCCTTGGGAATGCTTCACGATTGCACACCGGAGTAAACAGCAACGTCAAAGCCGGGAATACCCTGCAGGCTGACCCCCAATCAGCCTACACGTGGTCGCGGCCAGCTCACCCAAAAACTCATGTTCCAAGACGTAGAGGTAGATGTGGGATCGATCATCTGCCATGAAAAAACTCTTCGCCACAAACTGCCCTATGAATATATCCACACGCTTTCGCACCTTGTGCTCCTGGATAAGCAGCACCGCCTGCGTGGCCGCCCAGAGCGCCTGAGACTTGATCTGCTCCCGGTCGAACGGCGGCGCGATTGTACTCAAGATGCCGATCATGACGCCCTCGTCAGCTGACCCTCCCTGCGGGTGTCGTCGTTGTTGTTGTTAGAACAACACGCCAACACGCGGGAGAGAGAGAACACATATATTAGGTTCGTGCGAGGATGGAAGCGGGTGCTATTTGCTACTGCTGTGACGTGCTACTGCTGTTGCTGATGCTGTCATCGGGCGTAACGGCTGAGATCACGGTCGACGCGTCAATGTTGCAGCTAAACCAGCACACGGAACCAACAAGCAAACCCGATTTCTAGCTCTCAGACACACGCGAAACAAAAACAGCCTCACAGACTCCTTCTTTGCCATCCATCAGCCATATGCGGTCGGCCGCCGGTTGGCTCAACAAAGTAGAGCTCACTATTCTTTAACAAGTATGCACGAAAACAACATCTGGAAAGGGGACTACGTATTACCAAGCATTTTTCTTCCCTCCGTTAAGCTAGCACTAAGTCTCTGTCCAAAAACGTTCCAGAAACGATTCTACCCCTGGCCTCCGCAGTCTCAAATAGTCTCAGCCTTGAGAGAGAGAGAGGCACGCGGCCAACGACGAACACCACAAGCGTAAAAGCACCAGACACGAAACATAACCTGGTCTATCGTATACGACACAAGATAACACACCCTCTGAACCAATTTTCAAAGCTCTATTACTCCACGATGAAGAGGATGCCGCTACGAGAATCAAAGGATGGGGTTAGGGTTCGCTCTCGACCAGACGGCTTCAAGCCGCCGTTTTCGGCGCTGCAACTCTCTCTGCAGTTTATGAATCGATCCTTGAAAATCGGTCCAGGGGGTGTGATATCTCGTGTCATATCAGTACTCCATTCCTTCACCACACCTAGGTTCTTTCAAAATGCCGCCGAATTGGAGTGCACCCGACAAAAAAAAAAAAAACGGCAAACTTGTGTTTCTTTGGCACGTTTTCTGCACCTCCGAGTTGCCGTAGTTGATCGCCTCGGCCGCAATGCCTCCCATGAGCACGATGGAGAACCTGTCGATCGACGACTTGGTGAGCTTTCCGTCCGCCATCTGCTTGGAGAGGACGGGGTCTGCGAAGACCGTGCCCCCCTGAGCGCCGGTCAGGCCGCTCCCCAACTGGTCAACCAGAAGCAGAGAGATTACGGCACATAAGACAATGATGACAAGAAGAAAAAAACAAACGGCAACACCAGTAACACCGTCAGCAACGTCATCAGCAACATCATCACCTTCGACAGCAACAATAGCAACAGAAATCGCAACACCAACAACACCACCAGCAACAGCAGCTACTACAACATCATCATCGTCAGCATTATCATCACCACAACCGCCACCACCAAACGAAACATCGACAACACCACCAACAACAACATCAGCAGCAGGAGCGGCAACATCATCGTCACCATCAACAACAACATGACAACAGCAGCAAAACCGTCGCCAACAACACACATAAACAGCAACAGCAACACCAACTCACAACGAACGGATCAAGCAGGCACGCCTGCACGGGGCAGCCGAGGAGGTAGGCCACAAGGAAGTGCCCGGCCTCGTGGCGGATTATCCTCTCCCGGTAGGCGGGCACGATCAAGCGCGTCAGAGACTCCGACAAGGCCCCGTTCAGCAGCAGCCTGTCCGCGAAGATAAGACCTGAAGAACGGGCAAAAGCGGGTTGCGATGAGAAGTGTTGGTTCGGCACGGCAGAAAGCGACAGAAGCAGGACAGCCAACAGAGTCGACGACAACGGGGGCGACGAATCATGGGTGGGAAGTAGCGCACGTGAATCGGCCGTTTATAGCTGGTCGGCGCTCTGTTTATGACCACCCCAGCCCAGCAATATCGCAAAACGTGAGTCCAATCATTCGGGCGACTTGTAACAAGGATGCGCCTACGTGCTTGATGCTGCCCTGCAAGGATGAAACATGCGTACTCAAGATCAGAGGAGCACGCTGCCTCGTCGTCGTTGTAGCTTCTGAAAGGCCTCGAACCCTGCAACTCCAACCCCGATCGTCCCTCAAACCCACCACCAACTAACCGTGACAAGAGGAACCAACCAGACTTAGGGTTAGGCAATATCTACAAAATCAAAACAACTCGTTTGTCGAAAGTTCACGTCTCGGAAACACCGGCATCGCAGAACCAGCGACCTCCATCCACCTTCCCCTAACGTATGCACAGTTCCTGAAACCTCTCCTGCGGTATCGCAAAACTTGTCTAGTGCCGAGATGATCGGTCTCACCTAATGTCCAGGGGATGACGGTCTGCAAAGGGTCCAGGCCCATCAAAATGCCCGCCAGGTACTCCGCTCCAAACACCCCGATCCCCTGCGGAGCAAAAAAAAAAAATGCAGGTCGGTCGGTCGGTCCGTCTACGGTAGAAACGAACGGGTCTCCCGTGCGGCAAGGCCTGACTTTCTTGCACAATTCAAAGGTATGCCACCAGCAATCACATCTCATCTTCGACATAGCCGGGAGTTGGGTGGTTCCCTCATGCGGTTGGGGGTGTGTGCGCAATCGAAGCGGGGGGATCCCCCCCGCGGCCTGTTGGTTGGTTTTCGACACGCACGAATAACATCGGACTTCTGCCCAGGAACACTCCAGGGGGAGATGCAAAATCCGTCGGCGACGGCCTATTGCAGCGACAAAGAGAGAGAGGGGAGGGCGATCCATCGAGAGAGAGGGAGAGAGAGAGGGGATTATTGCCCCCCATCGCTTTGCAAGGTAACAAGACCACACGATACTGACGGTAACCATAGTCGCCTCGACCGCGCTTGATGAAACCCGAGCTAGAAGCTCCAGCATCCGCTGACACCAACGAGTCAATCGGCGCGATGCTCCGTCACACGCGAGAACAATGACAACCGCAGCCGCAACAACATCTCCACCTCCACCTCCACCAACACCAACAACAACAACAACAACAACAACAACAACAACATCATCACGTTGTACCTTATCTCATCACCGCCAGCCACGACAGCCACCACCACCACTACCAACAGCAACAACAGCAACAACAACATCACAACACCAACACCAGCAGCAACACCACCGCGTTGACCCTGGTGGTCTCACCGCCGCCAGCCAAGACCCCGTCGGCCTCCCCGGTGCCAGGTTCTGCTTCTCCACGCCCGACAGCGACAGAAGCTTCTCGGCGGACACGTCCCGGCTCTGGGAGGAGGGACCCTTCGCAAAGTCGATGGAGCCGAAGCCTCGAAGCAGGCCGGCCGCCTGACGAGAAAACACGCAAAAACAACAAGATACTTTCAGTCTCATTGGTCAACACCCGCGGGCGGAACTTTTTTTTGTTACCCTCCACCTCGGAGTCGGGGGAAGTGGAAGGAAGGTACAGGGAGATGTTTGAGGCATGGAATAGTCAGGATAAACGGTAGCTGTGCTGGGGTATATGAAGTGGGTGGAAAAGTCGGGAAGTGATATCGTTAGGATAGAGAGACTAGGGAACACGCTTTTGAGCCACCGTTGGCAACGTATAAATGCACGATTGGCCATCGGTGATCGGTCTTGTGGGAACAATACTCCGTCCTCTCGAGGACGCGTGGTCAACGGTCTAACCACTAAGGCTTCCAAAACAAAAGAGTGCGCTCCCCACCTCGAAGTCTCATTGGCCGATACCCGTGGGCGGAATTTCCATCCGTTTCTCCCCGCCACGGTCTCAAATGAGCTACAAAAGTGAAATCTCGTGGCGTCTCGAGTATGGTTCGGTGGGGAATCGTAATACTTGCGAGAGGATAAGAACGAAATGTCGGGCTTGTTCGGGGTGGGGATGGGGGGGACGATGTTTGGCATGTCTTAGTTGTTAGACCACGCGTCCTCGAAGGGACGGACCATTGTGGTGTGGGGTTGGGGGGGCGTTGTGTGTATTGTGTTTTCGTCCTACTATTTTGGCGACAGTCCCCCCATTTTTCGTGGTGAGACGAGTATTACACTTTTCAGTGTACTTTTTCGGACAACTGCAACCATCCAGGGTCACACAGGAGGAGGTAAACACCAGGGCTTTTTCTTCTTATTATTTTTATCGCGAGAAGGGTCCAGCCGTCCCTTTCCCTCGTCAACGGGGTGCAACATTGAAGTTTGGTACTCACGAGAGCTTTTCCAGCTGTATTTCGCTTTCACCCGCATATTTAGCGAGTTTTTCACCCCATGGGAGTTCGGACTCACGACCTCTGCGACTAGCGGTTTGCGAGGATACCACTAGACCACCGGGGCGACCGGCTGTCGGCTGTCGGCTGGCGACATCTACGGCAAAACTGTCGTGAAGCTTTTTCAGCAGGCGGGCCGTCTGGCAACGAAAACAATCGGCGTAGCAAGACGACCACATACCTCCACACACACACATAACCACAAAAGACGAAAGCAAGGGCGGCATGAAAGCGACAGCCCGAAGGCTGAGAAGAAGAAATGGGAGGAATGGACGTAGAGCGTTGCGTGTGCATCCACCCAAATGTTTCGGTGGCAAATTCGTAACAACGATACGCCGGCGTGAGGATGCCAGTACGACGGAGTGCTGCGGCAGACAATAGCAAAATACGAGCACCTGAGTGCCATATGTACCTACGTCACACACAGAACATTCCAAATATTGAGGGAAAAAAGAGACCTTCACCATGGAACGGTGGAATGGTGCGGTAGAGGAGGGGATGGATAGCAAGCAGGACATATCCCAACTGTTCGACAGCAACACACCTTCAGGGCATTGTAGGTATTGATGAGGTTGTCGTGGGGGTTCTCCTTCTTCAGGTCGAGCTTGAGTTCGCCGGACATGACGTTGAGCAGCTAAGGAAAGGAAGGGCAATTGCAAGCAGCGAGAAGCAATCGGCCATGAACATCCAGCACCATAGATGAACGAAACCACAAATCGAACCGAGCAATATCGTTAGTGAGCCCATAAGCTGCACTTCTCTTCTCGGGCTACGGTCAACGTTCAACATGCCTTTGATTTGCCCGACAAGGTTCACCAAAACAAATAAAAGCTTCCTTTGCCAATGCATGGAATGTAAATGTTCTGAGAAGCACATTACGCCAAAAACAAAATGTCCCGTCATCCTGCCCTTTGGACGGAATGTGTCGAGAAGCACATCGCGCTCAAAACAAAATGGCCCGTAATTGTATCGAACGAAAGCAAAGCTTGTTGCTCGCAACGACTGCGGAGCCATTGAGCGTTCGTCGTTGGGATCATCGTCCACCAGACTCCTCCACCAATCAGATCGAATTATGATCAAATTACGCTCGATTCACAGCAGTGCCTCCATTAAGGCAGCAGAGTTTCATTTCATCATAGACCCGTTCCCTATGGATACATAAGAGATGGATGATTCGTTGGGCTATATTACAAGATGAAACATTCTTGTCTCACCTTGCTCGCCTCTGCCATGCTGATCTCAAGCTTGCTGCCAGACCGTCGTAGGAGGTTGAGGCACTCCTGGATGAAAACAAAGCAAAACACGCTATCAGCAAGTATAGTAGGAGAGGAGGGCTAATGCTCTCTGAGCAAACGATAAGGGTCACTTCAAGGTACTGCTGTACGTCTACGGAGGAGGAAATGATTTGAACGAAGAATGTTCATGGTCGATACGATAAGTCGATACGATCGGCATCGAAATACCCGATGCGACATCCAACACTGATTGCCAGGCTTGTTGCATAGCACCCGCCTCAAGCAACTCGCACCATTGCATTGCCAAATGCACTAATACCACCTGGGACAAGGCAGGTGCCTTGATGAGGATTGTCTGCTGTAGATACACAGATCGACAGCATTTCTGTTGGGGGAAATCTTTTGGAAACCCATACACCCTTCGGAGCGGGGGGGTGAAAGGAGGTTCAAATTCAGCATTCATACTGCTGTGCTGTGCATTCAAGGGAGCGGAACAAGATTTGAGCGTTTCGAATACGAATCAATCGTTCAAAAAACGTGTAGGTACTCACGATTCCATCCGATGCAGCGCAAAGTGGAACGAGTTAAGCTTCGAAGCTTTGAAGTATTGCACAGCTGGAACGTTTTATCTTCGAAGGCCCGCCTCGAAGTACTTCGTATCTTATGCAATGATATCTTTCGCGAATATCCGTGGCTTGAACAAAGGTTCCCCTACGCTCAACCTCTTTACATGATTCTTCCTACCGTATACAGTACTTCGTATGGAGTATACGTTACCTCCGTGTTGCCCTTCTCCAGGATGTCGTCAAAGGCTTTCTTGTACGCCGCGGCGGTTTCATCCTCCGTGTTCCCGAGAGACGACGAGCACACCCGCCCGGCCGACCTCCTCCTCGCAGACGACACGCCTGCCATCGCCGACATAGAGAGAGACAGAGAGAGCACTCAAGGGGTAGCACGTTTAGTATCGATGCTGGCGGTGCTGCCGAAAGAGTGGCGACGAGGTACAAGTATCTAGCGCGACAGACATTGTCGACCAACAACGCCAAGCTTGGCATGCGATGAGTTGCGCAGCAAGCAGACAGCGGCTTCATCCTCCCTCTAGTGAGAGTGCCTCTCGGACATTTTGCTTTTCCCGTTCGTAATGACCAACTTTTCCCACTTTTGCTTGGCGAACTCTAATTTTCTTCTGTGGTGTGTCGTAGGGAAGATTGCTGGCGGGTCTTTTATGTGCCTGGTGGTGATTTTCTCCCGCCTATTAGTATCCCCGTGGGGAGACCATCGTCAGGGGGAAGGGCATTCTAGTACGTACTAGAAGGTGTTGTGTGCGTCGTGCTGTACCCGTTCCCCGCACCCTGATATGCCCGTTGCTCGGTCTTTCCGGTGTTTTACAGCAGAACAGTAATCATGTGTGTATGTCTCCGAATAAGATCACTTGCTTGCCCTCAACAACACAACGCTGTATGCACAGAAAATAGACGGGCAGTCTTCCTGTGACGTCATGTTTACTTTCTATAAATAGCGCGGGTTTTCGGCCGGCGGGCCGGATTGGGTGTGTTGTGCTGTGTACTGCTGTAGGTCAGGACGCCGGAAAAGGTGCTCGTTCACAATTAGCACACAAAGTCCACGAGGCGCAACCCACCGAAAGGGTCGCAAACAGCAGTAGAAACATGTCATGCGGCGGGGCCGGGTAAGCGACCTCCAGGGGTTGAAGGGGGGAAATCTGGTCGCTATTTCCCAGGCCTGATCGCTGTGTACCGATACTGCCAGTGTTGTAGCTGACGGGCAGTGCATAGTAGTCGGGGCGTGGTACCAGCCACGCGATTTTGTCGTCACTATCCAACAGGGTCAGTCGTAAAATCTGGTCCGCCACCACTGCCATTTGTACTGTTTGTAATAGGCCTTGGGCGTCGCCACGGAGACAACGCCGATGCGGTTTCCGACTGGGCGAACGAGCGAGCTTGCGCCGGGGCAGGCAGATTATTATCCCCAGACCAGAGATATAGCGACGTCAACATAATGTAATAAATTGTCGCTGCAAGAAAACAACAATCGCCACGTTAAGGGAGTGATTACTGCGGTGCGTATCTGCATGGAGATGGTGCGCTATGTGCCGCGAAAACATGCATCTGGCCGCTGCATTCCACATACGCGTTGTATGGAGGACATCCATTGCTTCTCTGCCGGGTGGACCTCGTGTGGTTCAAGCTAACCTGGGGGAAAACCAGCACGCCGACGGTGTTCCCACGGCTGTTCCTCGCGGTGTTGGCGTCCACGCTGCCCCAGACTTCTCGGCGCAGACGGCAGCACAAAGGCATCCGCTCCCCCGCCGCCACTCCACCTGCTGTTGCCGCTGCTGCTGCCCATTAGAAATCCTATTGCCATGGCCGTCGTCGTCGCGGACCGCCTTGATCTCTTGCTGCCGCAGACATGCCGCCTCCCGCTGTGCAAATGCGGCATTGCATTCATGTTTTCCCAGCAGCAGTGTGTGAAACGCGTGCGGTTGAAAGCCCTTATCGGTTTAAATGGTGCCACCGGGTTCGAGGGAATGATGCGTACTGTGATCGATGTGCCGACGCACAAGCAGGTTGTGTCGATGTGCCGTCTGACGCGACTGACTCCCACAGGGTGGGGGCTCTGACAGCAGTGCGGTATCTGATGCTCCCCGCTCCCCCCCAGACCAACAGAAAAAAAAAAAGAAAGAGAAATGAGGTCGATAATAGAGGAGTAACCAGAAACGGGTATACCCGGATAGATGATAACCATTTCAGGGTGCACTTGGAAATCAAGATGACACCAATCTCCGACAGAATCCGCCGTAGATCGCGGCGAAACCAAAAAACCGCTGTCTGTGTCATGTGTGTCCTGTGCCTCGGAAGCATGATGCACGAGGCAGGTCGTGCCCGTTTTTCTCTCTCTCTGTGCCTCTCTCTCTTTCTGTGCTTTCACTGATCAGTTCCACACCGAAGTACTCGCGCGTCAAGCGAGTCCGACCCTCTGTTGAAAAGGTCCGGTATCCCATGGAGGCGGTGCCCATGAACGATGAACGAGCGAGCGTTTTGGTTGTGGTTTGGTTGTGGTTCTGTATGTGTGGCACACGGTATATGCGGTACACGGTTTTTTCTGCGGGTTTTATGCGGGAACGTCGGGGGCCGGGATGATATGACCATTTCTGGGTTAAAAATTGACCTCTTCCGGGTACACCAGAAACCAATCGGTCACACCAGGGGGTCCTAATTCCAGCGGAAGTTTGCCTGATGGAGGTTTCTTCAGAAATGGGTACAATCTTTTGTCGGCCAATCAGCTGACAGTCTGGGGATGCAAGCGTCTTGATCTAACTTAACTGTACCCTAAAGTGGGGATAAAGCACCCGGTTATTGGTCTCGATGGTATCATCTACGGAGCTCCCTAGTGCGCTATCTGCGACCCCCCCGGCTCGCGCAAGTGCGCGTGCGCAACAAGTTGGCGCAAGCCACGAGGGCAACCGCACCGACTTCGATACACGCACCGCCGCCTGGGGAGCGCGCCGCAGCAAACATGGCGATGCGAGGGGTGGGGAAGACCACTCGTTCGACCTACAATGCAGGTGAGACGATAATTCAAACACAAACTTTGGCGCAATGAAGATTTTTCTTTATATCTGTTTCATAGGGCCGTCAGTACTGCAACCCTCTCCCCGGTCTTGACAGAGGGGTATACAGTAGTAGTACAGTGCTGTTGTTGCACAACCCGTGCGACACGACTTGTATCTGCAGGTGCTGCAGACGAAGGATGTTCACCCTGATTCCCTCCTCCGTGCTTTGAAAGCTATGCAAATGCAGTAGAGAAAACCAACACAGGGTGCACCTGTAAACAAACTATATAGGGCGGCCCAACACCACCCCCCCGACCTGCTGCTGTAGGTACGTGTAGCGGTGTACCCAGGCACCTTCGTGTCGGTGAGGGGGCATGTAACCAGCCCCCTTTTAAGCCCGCCCATTGCCAAAGTATTAAATTTATTGCATAAGTCGACATCAACCAATGCGGTACGTTGGTGGGTTCTCGCTCCAACAGACGAGCAACAACGACTGCTTTGTTGCTATGCATACCGTGGACGGCACAAGATAACACACCCACATAAGCCACCCCCCCCCACAGAATACAACACCCCGGTGATAGTTTTGGGCGTTTCTGACAAACCATCGATTTATCACCGTTGCTACATAAGGTAACACACCCCTTGAGGTTACGCCGCATATATTCACGCCCACTCCCCCCCCGGTATTTACCATCGGGGTTGGGTTTTCGTCCCTTGGCAACGACGTTGTAAAACAAGCCGCCCCCCCCGGTGTTTGCCATCGGG